TTTTTTAAAGCAGGATCTCTTAAATTTATTATGTAGTTGAACATGACCTTGAATCCCTGACCCTTTACCTCCAACTGGTAAGTGCTGAGATTGCAGGACTGTGCCACCAAACCCAGCTGCTGCTCACTCTTTAAAGATTGGGTTCCACTGGCTTGATCTAAAGTGAATGTTATGTATCTCTAATAGGACTCAGTAGGTCTAAAACCAATAGCAAAAAGAAGACCAGGCTTGAGAGGAAGATGCCTTACCCCAGCATCACCTTTTGGGCAAAGATCCTTGCTTGGGTGATGTTCTATCTCCTAAGGAAGTCTTGGTTGGTCCTGTTTGCCCTGTTTGTTTTTCCAAGGTCCATTTGTTTATATCCCTGTCCTCTGCTCTGGGTAGGAAGTTCCCTGAGGGCTAAATCTGGGGCTGATTCCTCTGTACCCAAGATGTCCCCACTGGACTGTGCCACCGTAGTGTTGTCTTTAATGCATGCCATTCTACTTAGCAGCTCTGATCCCTTCCTACACTTTTGTGACCGCTGACCTCTTTTCCTGCTTTAGTGACAGAATACCTTTTGTCCAGTCATCTTAGTGTCTGCATCTTTTTCAGGTGCTTTCTCTTATTCTAGACTGTCTTCAACATTGTCTGTCTCTGGCTAGTACTTCAGTCCACTTTCTCCCCAGTCCCAGAAGCAATCCTGTTCTTCATTCATCAAGGATTAACTTCCAGGGTAGAGAACACAGAGCTTGGGAGCAGAAGATACATGCTGGCTACATGACTCAGAGCCAGAAGTCAGAGCATTTCCATGTAAGAATACTGTGGTGGCCAGTGGCCCACAGCCCAGAGCAACGTTCTTCCTTTGAGCCAGCAGCTAAGCCCCTCATCTCTCACCCTGGAAGGGACACCCTTCAACAGCACAGGGCTCCCGAGGCCAACTTTGTTGGTTTAGTTACGCTACAAGGCTTCTGCTCCTGCCCCTGCTGTTACAGCCTACAGATTCCTGGTACCAATCTGATTGAACAACTTAATTAAGATGCAATAAAAGTGGTCCGGATGTGCCCCAGGCAGAGCAGTCTAGAGTCTGCAACCATTGCCCCCTCTTGAGCCCAGAGCCCTTTCTCACCGTGCTAAATGCCCTCCTCTGGCAATGGCTGTAAAGGAAGAGCTTTATTTAGTGTTGGGTGCAGGGGTCCTTAAAGGTTAGTCACTCCACCAGATTTGTTTATGATGCTGGTAGGTCATCTCAGTTCATTGTCATGTCCAAAGAGGATGGTGAAACTTCCCAAGTGTCCCAGCCTCTAGGATTTAGGACTTAACACCACCCAGGGCTTATCTCATAAGACCGAATAGGAGGGGAATATTCTCTAAAACACTGAAACTGAGCTGGATAAATGGCTCAATGGCTAAGACAGCACACTCTGCTCTTGCAGAGGACCTGAGTTTAGTCCTAGCATCTACATCAGGTAATTCCTAGCCACCTGAAACTCCAACTCCAGGAAGTGCAACACCCTCTCATGGCCTTTACAGGCATCCACACACATGTGGCGCACACACATTCTCACACATAACTAAAAATAAAATAATTTGAAAACCCACTGAACCCCGTGTTCCTGTTTGTTGTTTTGGATAACAGCTTTAGCAACTAATTCACACACCATGTACTCATTTAAAATGTTTTTTTTTCTTTTAGTTTATTCAGAGTTGTGCAACCATTACCATTTGAGATGTTTTACTACTACCCTAAGAAACCCACTATCTCTTTGTTATGGTCTCTCCATCTCCTCAATTCTGCTTTGTTCTGGGTGACCAACTATCCAGCTTTCTGCCTCTGTATATATGCTCACTTCAGGCCTCGTTGAAGTCAAGGAATATTCTATCCTGAGTATGCCTCACTTTTAAAAAGATTTATTTATTTTTAAGTGCATTAGTGGTTTTTGCCTGCATTTATGTCTGTGTGAGGGGGTCAGGTGCCCAGAATGGGAGTTACAGACAGTGGGTGCTGGGAATTGAACCAGGTCCTCTGGAAGAGCAACCAGAACTCTTAACTGCTGAGCCATCTCTCCAGATTCCTATGCCTCGTTTTTTTTTTTTTTTTTTTTTTTTAAAGAATTGTGTGTCTTTAAGGTATACAGCCCCATGTCTTGACACACCATAGTTGGCTCTCCGTCTGATGGGCAGTTCGTTTCTACCTTCTGGCTATTGTGAACAGCACTTTGGTTCATAGAGATTTGTGTTGCTATGTGTTTTCAATTCTCTTGGATTGACAAACTTACTTCCTCTTGTGTCTTTTTAACAACACCGATGCAACATGGATGATGAGCCTAAAGCCTTATCACATACATTGATTCACTGAAAAATAGTGAAGCCAGGAAAAGGGTTGTAGAAAACCAGACTCCAAGACACTGTTCTACCCTTGCTCACAGTCCTACAGGAGGCCTCAAAGAAGGAAGTTAGACCTCTGACAATTACCTGCCAAAACCTTCATCATTTTAATGAAAAAGATATGATATGAGAAAACTTTCATTTGAAATATAGGAAGGAAGATTTTTGAAAACCATCAACATATAGCCACACATCCTATCACTCCAAACTTGATCTGGTCCTTTTTTCTTATTCCCTAATCTTCCATCTTCTAATTCCCCAGTGAAGAGAATATTCCTACTTTTCAATGGAATAACACTCACACTCTCTAACCAGCCTACCCTGTTCTCACCAAGGAGATAGGTGACTCTGCAGGGAATTGGGTGTCTGAGTTGGGCAGCATCATCCAAGGAATTCTCTTCTGTCGTAGCTGCAGATCTCAGAGCTCTGTGTGTGGGAGACAGAGCTACTACGCTATCCCTTGGTGCCCTATTTTCTGGGCACTCTAGACTGCTCAACATCTGTCAGCAGGTAGGTATGTGACAAAGAGGCTGGGCAGAACAAATTGCTTCAGATACATAGTGGTTTGAACTATAGCCAATTGCTAACATACATTTATTTTCAGCCTACCCCCCCAAAAAAAATAGAAATTTCACACGACTAGTGGGGTTCAACCCATCATTCTCTGGTACGTATTTCCTACCCTTCTGGTCTGCCTCTTAGTTGCTCACATTCCAGGTTTGGAGAGGCAAACTGTTCCTCCTCATTCAAACTCTGACCGTTCCTTTCTCCCGCTGTTCAGTGTGTCCCGAGGCATGGGTGGGAGAGGAGGTAAGCAGATCCCCTAGCTGGTAGTCAAGAGGCCTAGGATCAGGCCTGGGCTCCTACTAGCTGCCCTGCCACCAGTTTGTTCCCTCAACTCACGTACCCTGTAAATAAGGATGTGCCCTAGCCACCTTCGACTTCAAATCATGGAGTAACTTCTCACAATTGTATATACAAAGGTATGCTCCCAGGCCTGGCATGTAGAGACAGTGTCAGCTTCTGTCATCTGCTTTCTCTGTCCAGTCCTTCGCTCTCACTTTTACACCTTGGCACTGGCTGCTCCAATGGCTTTACTTCCTTCTGTTAGCTACCACTGGCTTATCCTTCAAGATCACCTCCAAGGTCTCTGCCTTGACTCCAGCTATCTTAGGAGCCCTTCTTCCACCTGTCTTCCCTTGGTCTTCTGGTACGACTGATTGGATTTTAAGTGACTATTTGCACATCTGACCATGTCTGTCAGTGTAGACTTCTGATATATCACCTAATTCATCCTTTAACCTCAGATGCCACGATACAGTGCTTAGCATATCTTGTTTAACAAAAGGATGTCTCTCTCTCTCTCTCTCTCTCTCTCTCTCTCTCTCTCTCTGTGTGTGTGTGTGAAAGAGAGTGTGCCATGATTCACTCTCTCCATTTGCTGTGATAGGGGATTTTCTTTTGTGTTTTATTTATTTATTTATTTTGGTGTAGTTTAGTTTTGGATTTTCGAGACAAGGTAGCCCAGTATAGCTCTGGCTATGCTGGAACTAGCTGTGTAGACTAGGTTTGCCTCAAACTCGGAGATTTGTCTGCCACTGCCTCCCACGTGTTGACACCATCACCTAGCAACACAAGGTTCTATCCACTGATATCTTTAAGGCCTCCTTTATCTCCAAGGAACAGAAGAAGTTTGATTTTAAGGACTTTTTTTCTATTTCCTAAAGCCTACAAAATGGACTTGAATGCTTACCCTTTCACAGTCACACACAAGGATTTTATGTGAACCCAGGAAACTAGACCTGAGGATGATTGGCTAAATGGGAGTTTCCAAGGAATTCTGATAATTATTTTATGATCCTTAAACATGTTTTATTTTAATGCAGAGAGTGTTTGCAAAGTGCCTAGGAGCATGCATGCCAGTGTTACAAACAACACAGCATGGCACATAGTTGTAAGTAAATACCACCTTCCCTGGATCTCCAGTGACCATCTAATTTGTAGATATACCTCGAAGTCCCTACCAAAATCCTATCCTGCTGGATGCTTATTCTTGCCAAGACTCGCGGATGTGCTCTGCGAAGCTGGCCCATGGCTCCAAATTTGTCATTGCCTGCCTACTGGACTTTCACCTCTTAGCCCGAGGTCTACTGAGCAGAGCATCAGGCCGGGCGCCCTCTGGCGGTGTCGCTCCGGAGTTAGGGCCCAGCGCGGAGCTGGCGAGAGGAAAGGAGAGGGAGGAGGGGGGGGGGGGGCGCAAGCAGGGGAGGAGAGGAAAAAGTTGCGCTGGGAAGTTTGGAAAGTTGGGAAGTGGCTGCTGCGGGCTTCGCCTCCCTCCGCGCGCGTGCGAGGGAATGAGCGAGAGAGGGCGAGCGCGGAGCCAGCGAGCGCTTGCCATGCCCGGCAGACCCCGCCTCGCCGCGCCCCGGCGCCGAGCTCGCTCCGACTCCCTGCGGCCCGGCCCGGCCCGCCGCGGCCCCGGCCCCCCGCCCCCCGCGCCGGGTCCTCCCCTCCCCCGCCCGGCGGCCCCAGCCCCCCGCCCGGCCCGGCTCCGCGCCGCTCTCCCGCCCTCCTCTCTTCCTCCCTCCCGGCCGCGGAGCAGCATGGCGGAGTCCGGGCAGCGGCCGCGCGGCCGCCCGCCGCCCCTCTGAGCCGGGCTCGGGGGCAGCCGGGCACCTCAGAGCCGACCCCCGCCCCGCCGCGCCCTCCGCCGCACTTGTCCCACTGCGCGCCCCCTGGAGCGCCGCGCACCCCTGGGACCTTTGCGCGCCCCGGGTGCCCAGCATAACCCGAGGTCCCCCGCTCGCCCCGGATCTCGGGACTGCCCCAGGAGCCCCGGGTACCCCTGGACCCTGACGCGGCTCCAGGACCGCCACGCGCTCCAGGACCCCTGCGCGCTCGCAGAATTCCAGGGCTTGGCCAACCCGGCTGCGCGCCCTGGTGAGGGGCCCCGCCCCGCCCCAGAGGATCCCCCTCTTCCAACAGACGGAGCCCCGCCCCAGAGGGACCCCCAGGTCCGACAGGGACATCCAGCCACGCCCCAGCGGGCTCCCAGCATCTCGCGTCTGGAGCCCTGTGCTCCAGAAGATCCTCGGTGCCCAGCTGGGGGCTCCCCGCCCTTCTGAGGGGCGCTGCCCAGGAGGGTCCCCCGCATCCAGCGGGCCCGGGCAGGATGCACGCCGCCCTGGCGGGGCCGCTGCTTGCCGCCCTCCTCGCCACCGCCCGCGCCCGCCCGCAACCCCCTGACGGAGGACAGTGCCGGCCGCCTGGATCGGTGAGCGAGCGCCAGCCCCGCCACTCTCCTGCCTGCCTGGGCACTTTAGCTCAAGGGCCGGTGGTTTGGGACCTGCCTTCTTTAGCCCACTCGCTCCACCTCCGCCCTCTGGGCACAGCGTGGGCTCCCTTCCCTAGCATCTGTCCTCTGGGGCTCCAACTCTGAGCCCAGCCCAGCCCAGATGGTTCCTTCTTTCACTCGCGGACAGTTTCCTCTATACTTTTGGTCTTGGTTAGATGTTTCCCCTTTCTGTGCCCGCTTCTGACTCTTCTGTCTTTTATCTTGTCTGCTTTGGTCTCGTTCTGCCCACGTCTGACTTCTTCCCAACACTCCCTTGCCCCTCTCTATACTCTACCAGCCCTTTCGCTGTTTCATTCACGCACCCCTGCCTAGGCTTCCCTCTCACTCCCTGGCTCTTTTTCTGACCTAAGGCTGCCCTCCTTGCCCCCTGTGCTCTCTCTGTGTACCCCAGGCCCCACCCGGCACCTATTGTCCCAAATGCCCCTGTTTCCTAAAAAAAAAAAAAAAAGGTAAGATTCCAAAGGAGAGAAACGGAAATGACAGAATGAACATGCTTGTCTAGTATTTCCCTAAGGGGGTCAAATACTTACTGCTTCTCCCAATTTTCCTCCTCAAGCCCAGAATCTCATGATTTTCTCCTAATGCCCTTCTCTTCAACTAGAGATTAATGAATTGGCAATCACCCTGAACTAGAGACCAGGACACCAGAACAGTGAGCGTTGCTGGATCCTCCTGTGCTGCCCTAGTAGAAGAGCATAGGTTGGCCATGGGCAAGGTGCACAGCTAGGAGCCTGCCCAGTGTAGAAGAAACCAACTGGCTAGCTGTGTATTGTGCATTCAGATTTACAAATCTTGTTGATAGAAGTAAGATACTGTTTCTACCTCCCACAATAAATACCTTTCCTTTGTGTCAGAATCGGGTAGGAAAATGTTATGACTTGACCTAAAGTTTGTAAGTGGTCACTGGTCACTCCAGAGACTTTTCTAGATGGAAAATGGCTTTGCCTGAGAGAAATGATAGTCCCCTAATTCCTGTGTCTTTCTAAATCTTAATGGGTACTAGAAAAGCAGCCCTCTTATGTGTGCCCCTGGTTGAGGCATACAACCCTAGTGTGTGCCTAGGTCACAGAAAATGACAGACCTGTCTATGGAAAACCAGGCATGCCTTTTGATGGGGAAGTCTACAAAGCACCCCAAATAGGTGTATTTCTTGAGGGTAATTCTATGGAATCCTTTCCTCCCAAACCAGAAGTTGAGACTTGATTTGGCTTTGCAAGGTTTTAAAACACTTTGTCATCCATGGTCTCAGGGAGTGGAGCAAAGTAGCTAACACCCCAGACCTGCCCTCCAAGAAGAAAACCTTACCCACCCGGATGAATGGGAAGTGACTGTTGAAATAGGTGTGCTATTTTTAATAGGTGTTCTGCTTTCAGAGTGCTCTTGGCATGTGTCTTCTAATGGCTGTATTTAAAAGTTATATGACTTCCTCTTTTCTTGCCAGAGCAAGACTCTTGATCCCCCTCTCCCCACCCTCTACATGAAACACTACTGGTGAAGGTTTGGCTTGGCCAAGCATGAATGTTCTCAGGTGGTGTGGCAGTCCTTGGCTTTCACAGTGAAAGCTAGTCATAAAGAGAGTCTCTCTTCATTGCCCACTTCCTCTGTGCCTGGCACCACTCTGAGGGCTGCAGATATGTATATTCTGTTTCTCAGTCCTACCAATAACTTCCATTCTCACACACCGCCCGTTTTACAGAAGAGGAAACTGAGTCTGTGGGAAGTAAACTGATGGACTGAAAATTATTCAATTAAGATAGGGCAAAGCCAGCATTTGACTGTGGAGCTTTTAGCTTGCAAAGCCCTTGCTAGTGGGCCTCTGCCTTCTGGCCCCATCTACCCCTGCCACCTCTCTGCCAACTCTGGCTCTACTCTGCTACCTTTAGCCTCACTGATCTGCCCTGCTCTCCTCTCTCCTTGTAGCAGAAGGACCTGAACTCCTTCCTGTGGACCATTCGGCGCCATCCCCCAGCCTACTTGTTTGGCACCATCCATGTTCCATACACCCGAGTCTGGGACTTCATCCCTGATAATTCCAAAGCAGCCTTCCAGGCCAGCACCCGTGTCTACTTTGAGCTGGATCTGACAGATCCCTACACCATCTCAGCACTGGCCAGCTGCCAGCTGCTGCCCCACGGGGAGAACCTGCAGGATGTGCTGCCAAGAGAGCTCTACTGGCGCCTGAAGCGTCACCTGGACTACGTGAAGCTGATGCTGCCCTCTTGGATGACACCAGCACAGCGCGGCAAAGGGCTGTATGCTGACTACCTGTTCAATGCCATTGCTGGCAACTGGGAGCGCAAGAGGCCAGTGTGGGTGATGCTCATGGTAAACTCACTCACAGAGACAGATGTGCGCTCCAGGGGTGTGCCTGTACTGGACCTCTACCTGGCACAGCAGGCTGAGAAGATGAAGAAGAGCACTGGGGCTGTGGAGCGGGTTGAGGAGCAGTGCCATCCTCTCAATGGGCTCAACTTCTCCCAGGTAGGAACCCATGCGCCAGCTTAGCCAGCAGCCCCACACTATCTTGCTCCTGGTCTCTGATCATTATCATGCTCTAGCAGACAGCCAGAGCCAGGTCCCATTCCCCCCCCCCCCCCAGCCTCCACCCTCCACTCTCTGCACCAAGCAAAAGCATCCCTCTGGCCCTGGGCTGCTTTGTTGGGGTCAGGGGAAACTACTACGTGCCAAAGTTTGGGTGTTTCTTTCCATTTCAGTGGTTCCCTGTTGGGGATATCCACTCTCCACCTGCTGTGCTTGCCTGAGCAGAAAGAATTTCCCCGGGAGCATCATAGTGATACAAAACAGAAAGAGGGAGCTGCCCATTTGCAGCAAGCTTCCCCAGGCCCTGGGGACTTAGGGCACAAGGCTGTCTTGAGGTTGTTTGGACACTGGCCTGTGAGTGTGCCTGCATAGAAACAACACAGAGCGGAGGCTCCGTGTCTGAGCTGGCAGGGAAAGTATTGTGTGCATGGCCTCCACTAGCACTAGTTTGCTGGTAAACACTAAGTTCTGCATAGTTCCCTGGGGACTTTGCTAAGGTCTGCAACTCAAGAGCTAACTACCTCCTTAAGACTGGAGGAAGATGCAGTGAGGAGAGTTTTGGGGGGTAATAATTTCAGAGAAATGTGTTTGCTTAAGGTTGACAGTTCTGATTTCTGAACCTAGGGAGTAGAGAAGGAGGGGAGGGGCTTAAGAGGTTTAAAGTCTCTGGCTGTCAGAGATCTGATCCAGCAAAAATGTCTTTAAAAGCCTGTCTCTGTGGACAGAGGTCATTCTCAACTCACTGGTCCCAAACTCAACTCTGAGGCCCTGGGAACAATAAGTTCACATCTGTGCCTAGAGAACAGGGCTGTCAACCCAGGATGGGAACTCCCAGCTTGTGGCTTTTAAAAGGAGGCCCCAACACAGGGTCTGGGGTTGATGCTCTAAGTGAAATGTGGCCTCAAGACGTATGTGCTCATCATTAAGGAGATAGACTCATAAAATGACTAGACCCCAAACTCTATCCCTGGAATCAGACCCAATTGCTCCAGAGATGTTGCAAGCTCCTCACCAGGGAAACGGCTGCTGAAGCTGATCCCCCTTCCGAGGAGATCTCTGGCCTTTGTTTTTCCAGGGGAAATGCAATATTGTCCCCAGGGAGGTAAGAAGCCAGATTGATTTGCCGGCCAAATGAAAGGCGGGTTTGTGAGTTCTCCTGCTGGCTCTCCCATAATTGTGGAGTCCTTACCCAGAGGGCCCGGTGGCAGGAATATTGGGGCAGTTAGTCACGCCCCGCAGGGTTCTGACTACGCCTGCCTCCATCTCCACGGGGAAAATCCTGTGTATTCTCTGCCCCAGTGCCGAGCCCTCTGAACAGAGCGGCTCTCCTCTTCTGAAGTGACTTTCCCCTTGCCAGCCTTGTGAGCTGATATTATCAGTGGTCCAGGGGCCCCCAGCACTCACTGCCCGCCCATCTCATTTTGAAGGCAGTTTTGTGGGCGGCCTCTCTGCCCATATTCCTCATGTCTAGCCTCCATAGATATCTATTTTAGTTTTGGGAGGTGGGGGATCTACTATCACTCTCGACACCCTCTTTGTACCAACCACAGAGGAACCTGATGAGGGCTGAAGGGAGCTCGCTGGTTAAACAGTCCCTGACTTTAATCTGTCTCTCTTAAAACAACAAAACTATCTTTCTTCGGGAGTCTGGAAACACTGCTGTTCAACCAAATGACGGCTCTGGTGGGATGAAAACATTTGCTGCAAAATGTGTGAGCTTATGTTTTAGGAAAAGTTACTGAGAGCCGTTCATCGGCCAGCAAGGAGCCCGCTGACAATCTCCAAAGCCCATGTTTGAAGATCAAACAGACTCCAGTTTCTGTTGCAAAAACACTCCCACCCCACCACCAGCCTGGGCCCGCTCTTCAAATTGTTCTTGGGTCCAGCTTCTTGAAAGGGCTGTAGAAAACAAATCTCAAGCAAAAGAAAACAGGAATCCTCTCCTTCCCTAATCTGCACACCCTTCACCACCTGCCCAAGAGCCTGACGGCACCAATTTGTCCTGATATCATTTTGGAGGGAGGTGATGAAACCTCTCCTTCATCCTTCTGGGCAGCAATGGGCTAACTGGGAAAAGTAGGAATCCAGAACCTGGGCAGAGGTCATTAGGGATCCTCAACCTGACAGTCAGAAATGCAATTGCTTTTTCAGTAAAATTGCATGCATATATGCATATACAGTTTGATAGGCACATCTGTGATGCGTTATTGTACTGAAATATCTGTTCTGTGCATCAGATTTTTATTCTTTTTTTCCTGGAAACATTACTGTTATTGCAAAATCGGGGGTGGACAGTGAGCAAAAAAGATAAGGAAAAAGCTTAAAAGACTACTTTGATGCTAAGGCCTGAGATTTTAGTTTTGATTTTAATGTTTTAAAGCATTGTGTGCATTTTTTCCCTTGGTAGAAATGTGTGTTTTTTCTTGATAAGTAGAGAAAGAAAGTTCAGATTGGAGTTACGGAGAAGGAGGACAGGGGTAGCTTTTAAAGCCAGTAACTGTTCAGCTTGCAGGAAGAGCAAGCAGGTCTCATGACAGGTTTTGACCTTTGTTTTCAAAAATAAACTCAAGGTGCTAGATTTGGTATCACTGAGGTTTTACCATGTGACCTTGGGCAAGTCAGTTTCTTTCTCTGTGCTCAGTTCACTGTGCCTATGAAACCAGATACCAGGATTAGGTCATCTTTCAAGTCCCTTCCAGCCCTGACATTCCATAGGGCCATTCTAATCAATTGCACGTGCCAGGCACCCAGCAGGAAGCTCCACATGCCTTTCCATCTCACTGAATTCTCCTTGTAACCCTTTGGCTTTCTAAGGTGGGCACCAAGAACGGCTGAATGACTTGCCCAAGGCCACATGGCTAATAAGGAACAGAGCCAGTCTGTAGGAACTGTAAATGACTGAAGAACTTCCTACATGTAGTTTCTGCACTTGGCAGGGAGTCTTAGTGGGCTCCAGGGCAGGAGGAGAAGAGCTACTCGAGAATCGGGCATGCCACTCTTCCAGCAGTCATAGCCACTGTCCAACATCTGCCCCAAAAGCAAAGCTGGACTATGGGAGGGGTAGAGGAAAGCCAGGCTTGTTGGCACAGTCCCATAATTGCACCTCCTCGGGAAGCTGACACAGGTGATCACAAGTTCAAGCCTACCTGGGCTACAGACTTACAGAGTCTGCCTTGCCAACTTAGTAAGACCCCGTGTCAAAGTGCAAAAGTAAAAAGAGGGCTAGGGATATATAGCTCGGCGGTAGGTACTTACTGCACACAAAGCACTTAGAGACTAGATTCAACCCCTAGGGATACAGAAAATGTGACACTGGCAAACCCCTGCTTTGGGGAGTCTGGGATGCTTAAGCTTTAGGTCAGATCTTATTTATGGCAGTCTTAGAACCTGGAGATCCTTAATAGCTCTGTTTGCTGCTACCAGGGACTGGAACTGATTGCCATTCCTCCCTCTGGGGCAGCAGTTCTCAACCTGTGGGTTACAACCTCTTGACAGACCTCTACTAGCACATTACAATACATAACAGTAGCAGAATTACAGTTACAAAGTAGCAACCAAAATAATGCAATGGTTGGGGGTCACCACATCATGAGGAGCTGTATTAAAAGGTCACAGCATCCAGAAGGTTAAGAACGAAGGCGGACTCTCAGTCCTTTGGCCATTTCTGCCCACTCACACTATATGGTGGGAGCACTTGAGTTAGATGGTCTTTGCAGCTTTGGTAAGAGAACAAGGATAGTGCTGCTGTGTGCATTGCTGTGTTTTACCAACATTCACTGGTGCTATCCAGTGTTTGGCGCATACCAGCTAAAAATGCACAAAATATTCATAAAATTCTTCAATCTCTTCCTCGTCTAGAGTTAGAAATCACAGAATCAATTGCTGAGTTCCATCCTTGTGCTGGGTGCAGCACTGGACCTCAAAGGATATTAACTCTAGTCCCCAGGGACGGGCTAAAGACTTTATTGAAATATTTATTGTAAATTGAAACTTGAAAAAGTTGGATCATTGGCTGTGGTTATATAGACAGACTTAATGGATTCAGGAATGTCCATTGCTAACACCCATGCTCTTTAGGCAGTTGAAAGGTGGATTGACTTTGCTTTTTCATAGTTCATGACATTATCTGATTAATTTGTGTCTATGTATGTATGCATGTGTAGGTGTGTGTGTAGTATATCATTATTGATAAAGTAAAAAACAAATCCAAAAGAAAAATAATCTAAAAGTACTGAAACTTTTTTCTCAAGATTGTAAATTGAATCTTAAGGGAAATTTAAAAGAGGACTTCCTAAAGGCATTCTGGGTACCATCTCCCTGGAATTCATCACCAGTTTCCCATGGAACTATTGTGAAAATACCCTCCAGCTGAAGCTAACCCTGCACAGAAAGGTCTTCCGAGTTGACATATAGTCATATAATTGTCTGTGTCTGGTTCATCAACAGGTAGGAAGTGCGTTATAAATATTTGCAGAACGATGAACGTTGAATGAGTGACAGTCAGCAACTATGATGTGCTTTCTTTATGCCCTTCTGTAAACCAGCATGGCAGAGTGAATGTATAAAGGAAGGTTGCACAAACCACAGCAATGAGTCCCCTCTCATAAACTTTAACAGCTGCATCACTTCCTATAGGGACACAAAACAGAAAAAAAATCACCGAGTGAGTTATCTTCATCCCTCTGAGACACTATGGCAAGACACTTTATACTAAGTCACTTATAAATATTGCCTATGGTTCCGGAGACTGAAGATAAAGACCAAGGTGACAGAAGATTTAGTGTGTGATGAAGGTTCATTCTTCATAGATGGAACTTCTCTGAACCCTTAATTGCTCACTCTGGGGCTTAGGTGTCAGCATATGAATTTTGGAGAGACACGGACATTAGATACGTAATATAGGAAGTTCTGTTCAAAGTAGGCACTACTTTTCTCCCTTG